AACCATCGAGAAACATGGCTCAGCCAAGTAGACACACATTTTAGCGGGACACAGTTAAATCCATGGAGAGAGTTTGATTGATAGTCCACCTGTCTGAAACACTGCTTGGTGTGAGATTCTTGATTATTCCAGTTTAAAGTCCTACCTCAAGTCAAGGCTTTACAATAATCCTCTCTGACATTGACACCAACTCCATTTGCCATATTCTTTCTTATCTCATCTCATTGCCATCAAGTCAGAGCCAACTCACAGCTGAACCTCTGGCAGATTTTTGGAAGCTGTGTTAGCACTGCATCTCCTTACCCACTTCACCACCAAGCTCCTGTTATGTTAGTTAGCTTCTGTTCAGTAAGAATTCACCTCAGAGTTTAAGATTTTTTTTTAAACTATCATTTATTGGGATCATGTTTATTTGGCTCATAATTAAGTGTTCTACGCTGGGTTCATTTCTGCAGTTAGCTACAGGTCTGCTGCTTGGTGCTGATTTTGAATTTGGCTGTCTGATTGTTGTGGTGGGAAAAGACTGAACCATTTGCCTCTCACCATCCAATAAGCTAGCCTGGTCTCATTCCCAGGTTGCTAGCATTATTTCAAGAGAATGAGTAGAAGTACATAAGGTTTATTAATACACAGACTTATTTTTGCTGGTCAAAACAAGTCACAAGTCTAGTCTAGATTTGTGGGATGGGGAAATAGACTCCAACTCTTGATGAGAGAAAGTGCACAGTTACATTACAAAGATGCTTAGATATAGGGAAAGGGGTAGAATTGTAACCGTTCTTGGAAACTACTGCTTTTCTCTCTGATATTTTATTAATTTTCTAACCTGTGTACAAAGTATGCTTATATTTAAGATTTCCTGAAATGCTTGTCTGTGTAGAATGTAGCTCATAGTTCTGTGGGTTATTGAAGTAGACTAGCCTCAGCTGGGAGTTTTTCGTGTTTTACCTGGGTTTCCTCCTGCATCTAGTTACCAACCACACAACATCTGGTTGACTATGATTCTAGGGTTTGCCTAGCCATGTATTTCTTATCATTAGACAGGTTAGTCCAAGCTCATTCATATGGTGGCCATCAGAGTCTCAAGGGAGTGAGTAGAAGCAGTCAAGGATACTCTTGCTCCCTTGTAGTAGCAAACAACCAAAACCAAACCAAACCAAACCCAACACTCATGGCCTGTCTAGTCTCAAGGGGTAAAGCAGTAAACCCCAACTTTTAATGTGTAGAGCTGCAAAGGCATAAGTATAGGGAAGATGGAGTCTTGTACAAATTTTTAAATCTTCTGTATTCATTCTCTACAAATAAGGTGGAAGATGTTGTTGTTGTTATATACCACCGAGTCACCCATGCTCATAGTGACCCTCTCTGTACAACAGCACTGAACCCTGCCCTATCCTGAGACAGTCTCGCTGACTCCGATACACCTACCCATATTACCATGTCAATCCATCTCATCTGGCATCTTCTTCTCCTGCACTGTCCCTCCACCCTTCCAAACATGGTGTCCTTCTCCAAGAACAAGTCCCTACTGGCCCGCATACCCAAAATACGTGAGACAGAGCTTTAAAACAGATCTGTTTGTTCTCCTTGGGGTCCACGATATGTTCAATACTTTTCTCCAGCACCACAACTCAAAGGCATCAATAATTTTTCTGTCATCTGTAGTCTTTATCCAGCTCTCCAATGCATAACAAGGAATTGCAAAGACCATGGCCTGGATCAGATGCACCTTAGTCTCTAGATTGACATCATTACTCTTTTGCACTTTGGAGTGGTCCCAAAGGTGGCAAGATCCCAAGATGGTAGAAACTCTATGAGTAATACAGAAAAACAAGATATAATCCTCATCATCCAGAAGCACAATTCAGCAAAAGAGTTAACACACAACTACAAATACCAGAGAGGCAGATTTCTTCTCACATTTCAAATTAAGTTAAATACTGCATGTCTCTGGTGGCCCAGTGGTAAGGAATTGTGCTGCCAACCCAAAGTTGTGAGGTTCAAATTCACAAGCTGCTCATCAGAAGAACTAGGGACAGTCTCCTCTCCTGTGCCATTTACAGTCTCAGAAAAACCCACTGGAGGGTCAGCTACGAGTTGATTCCAACTCAAAGGCAACAACAACATTGATGAATATACTACACACACGCACGCACGTGCGCGCACGTACACCCCCCACCCCCGACCTAAAACTTAGCAGAAAACCACACTTGGCTTTAAAATAGTCTTCAAACCTTGTAACTGTTAATTGGTGGTACCACCCTTTACTACTAATTTTTTATTCATATACATATTTTAAAGCCATCAGCAAATTATGCTGCTGTGCTTTTCTAAAGAAATGGAATACGTTTTCTTCTTGAAATCTACCGTTTCTTTTCTGACAGCTTTCTGGCTGCATCCTGTTTGTTCCATGAAGAATCTTGAGGGACTTGTCAACCCTCTTCTTCAGAGTGACATTCATCTGGCCCCTGCCAACCGTTCTGATAGGATTTTCCTCTATTTCCCCTTGAGCACTATTTTTTGGAGTGAATCAGATTCTCTGCTGTTTCTTGAGTACTTCTGCCACATACCTTTGGCTCTTAATGAGAAACAGTTCTGTATCCCAGGAGACATTTGACAATGTCTGAAGACATTTTTTTGGTTGTCACAACTAGGGGAAATTTGTGGGAAGATGTTACAGGTATCTAATGGCCAGGGAGAGGCCAGAGAGGCTATCAAGACTCTGCTTTCTCCTGCACTATCCTCAGGATCCTCAGCAGGGCTCAGCTCCTTTGTTGCAATCTCCAGGTCAGTCCTTATCACTGAAGATCTTCCTTTTTGTTGGTGACCCTCTGCTTTCCGCAGCATCATTCTTTTTTCTGCTACTAATCATCGTAAAAACACAGGAGAGCCTTCACAGCAAAGATTACTACGACAAATGTTTATGGGACCACAGTTGAGAAACTGCCAGCACATCTCTTCCTCTATGTCTTCTTTATTTCATGATACTTCTTCCTGGGAGGTACTTCACTGCTGCCTGTTGAAATGTCTCCTGTTCTTAAAAAGCTCACTGAAATGCCACCCATTCTAGAACACAGGGCCTGGGTGCTTCCCATTCTTACCCTTAGGCTGTGAGCACTCAGAATCCTTTCTGGGCATTACTGAAATATCTCCCACTTAGAATGTTTATGATCCATTATTTATGGCAAATTTACTAGTATTGCAAGCATAATTTTTGTTGTATTATTCCTCTTGCATTTTAGTGGAGTGTTTAAGTTATTAACTCTTGCTGAATCATGCTTCTAGATGACAAGTTCCTGTCTTATTTTTCTGTATGACTTGAAAAGAATCTACCAGCTGTTTTATACATTATTGTCCTTGAGTCTTAGAGAAACTATGAACAACAGATCAAACTCTTGCCCAGTTCTGCTCCATCCCCATGATACCTACCATCCTCACGCCCAGTGATGCATTCACTAGGCAATTCATCTCTCTAAAGGTCTTTCTTTCATTGACCCTCTACTTTTTCAAGCATTATATGTGTTGTTGTTGTTAGGTGCTACTGAGTCAACTATGATTAACAGTGACCCTATAAAGGGAGCTCTGGTGACCTACTGCTAAGAAGCTGAACTGCAATTCTAAAGGCGTGAGGTTCGAATCCCACTGTGCTGTGTGATAAGGATGGGCAGTCTCCTGCTTCTGAAAACCTACTGGAGGGTTGGCTATGGGTCGGGTGTCACTTGCCCGGCACACACCAATAACCAGCAGGAAACAATAGATCTGAACCTTGCCCTCTTTCCTGCACCCCCTCCTGACCTCTGACCTGCTCAAGCCCGTTGTGGTAATCACAGTGTCAGTGCATCTCACTGAGGGTCTTCCTCTCTGTCACTGACCCTCCACCTTTCCCACCATGCTATTTCTCTCCAAGGACTGGTTTCCCCCTGCAAAGATGACCCAAATCAAAGAGATGAAGTTTGACCACCCTTTCCCTTTTAAACGGTGCTCTGATTGCATTTCCTTCATGACAGAGTTCTTCGGTACATAATAAATACATCATGTTCCAACCATGGATTTGAAACTGACTCATAGCTGAGCCTCTAATGGGTTTTTGTGGTGGTGGTTGGAGTTATATGCCATCAAGTTGCCTGCAACGTGTAGTTACCCTTTGCACAATAGATTTGAAATCTGCTCTATTCTGAGCCAATCTCACTGTCTCTGACTCACCTACCCCCATTATTCAAGTTAACTGTGTCAATCCACCTCATCCAGGGTCTTCCTCTCCTGCACTGCCCCTCCACCCTTCCAAGCATGATGTCCTTCTCCAAGGACTAGTCCCTCTTGGGTGCATGTCCAAAGTATGTCAGAGGAAGATTGAAAATCCTTGTCTCCAAAGAGCAACTTGGTTTCACCTTCTCCATGACAGACTGTTTGTTCTCTTTTAAGCCCATGCTGTGTTTAATATTCATCTCCAGCACCACAGCTCAAAGGCACTGTTTCTTCTTAGGTCATTTTTAGTCCTTGTCAGGCTCTCTGATGCAATTAGGGGAGGAGATTGCCCATTTTTCTTCCATTGAGCAGCTGGTGGATTTGAACTGCATGCCTTTGGGCTACAGTACAGCTCCTTACTGCTAAGTCATTAGAGCTCAAATAGATCATAGTAGGTTTTTAAATTTGTTTACACCTTCCAACTGTTGTCTTTTGGTAAAGGATTTAGAAAGAGCTCTGAGGGTGTGTTCCACTGGAGGGTCATGTGGCTAACCCAAGAGCAGCACTGTCTGGCCTTTGGAGTCTACCAGCCGCTCAAGGGAGGAGGTAGCCAGTCCTCCCAGACAGTTTCCAGCCTTGGAAACCGATGCTACTGGGCCAGCTATGAGTAAATGCTCAACTTCATGGTGATGAGTCTGCGTTTGAAAGGATTAGGTAAAAAATATTTTTTACAAAATGAAATAAAAATAATTTAGATCTAAAATTGTGAAAGAAATAATTGTACAGAGCAATGTCTTGTTTTATTTCTACAGCTCATAAGTGAAAAAATAAGTGGTGTTGAAGGAACGAAACTTGATGATGAATTTCTGGATATGGAAAAGGTAAGAACATCTTATGCGAATTTTACTACAAACTGACTTTCATTGTGACTAACATAGATTGAGGACCTGGAATGTTTAAACACAGGGAGGAATATGGAATTTCAAAGGCAATGCCATCATAATTCCAAACGGAAACAAGACACTCTTGTAATTCCATGGCCGTTCCTGGCAGGTTCATGGAGAAGGGATTGACTTACCTGTTGAACTCTCATACCCTCTAGTGGAAAGAAGTTGATACACTGAAGAATATGAGCTCACAGTTGTCACTGGAAAAGGCCAAAATAACTGTGGTTCAATGCCACAATTTAGGAGCCCTGCTGATGGGTGTACTTTTTGTCGTGCGTGACGTAGTTGCTGTTGTTGATTTGATGTCTTAGTGGTAAGGAATTGCACTGCCAACCCAGAGATACATCGTTCAAGTACACCAGCTGCTCTGTAGCAGGAACATGAGCTTTTGCCTCTCCTGCGATTTTACTGCCTCTGAAAACCCGCGGGAGAGTCAGTCATGAGTCAGTTCTCACTCATTGGTGGTATACAACAACAACAAAACTATTGTAGTTTAAGGTTTCAGAGAAGAAGATATTTCAGGCACAAGACCCTTCAAATTGATAAAGATTAAGTCCCAGAGTGGAATCTGCCCCCCATGTGTTTCAGGAGCGCATGACCAACAACTGACCCTGGTTCTGCTCCGACAAGCTGTTTCCTATTTTGTTTTGTTGTTTGTTTGTTTAAACTGTTAACACAAGAATAGTGGTACAAACCTGGTTTGCCTCAAATGGGTGTTATAAGAATAATGTTTTGTAAACTTTAAAAAAAGTAGAATATATTTAAAACATTAGAAAGATATGACAGGCTTGATACACAAAATGATCATAAAAGAATTCAATGACTGTCTCCTGGTCAACTGTGTAGATTAATTTAGGTGGAGGCACAGCTGGGGCCACCACCGCTGTTAACCACCTTCCTAAGTTTCCAACCCTTTGTCTGAGGCCCTTTAAGTGTAGTCTCTAAATACGTAACACCACTTATGCAATAGGGAGCTCTTGGGGGCCTAGTGGTAAGAAGCTGCACTGTAATCTCAATTTGAAACTACCAGCTACTCTTTGAGAGAATGATGGGCAGTCTCCTCTAATGTGATTTATTGTTTTTGAAAAGCCTCTGGAGGGTCAGCTATGGGTAGGTTCTGACTTGAAGACAAACAGTAACAACTTAGATAATGAAATCTTGTTGTTGTTAGGGACCACTGACTGAGTCAACTACAACTTGAAGAACAACAGGTCTTGCTGTGTCCTGCGCCGTCCTCACTATCTCTGACATGCCGAAGCCCATTGTTACAGTCTTATGTCAATCTAGCTTGTTGAAAGTCTTCTTTTTCTCTGGCTTCCTACCTTTCCCAACATGCGTCTTTTCCCAAGGTGTGGTTCATCCTCTCATCATGTCCAAAGTACATTTGTACATGCCCCAGTATATTTCAAACTGCAATTTTGAATGCAATGCATCAGTTTCTCTCAAACTCCGCATCCAATATCTAAAACAATTTTCCAAAGCATGTAAAATTTTTGTAAATGAAATCAACATCAAGAAAACAAAGATTCTCACCACTGGGCTGATTGGTAGCATCATGGTAAATGGAGAAGAGATTGAGATTGTTAACAACTTCAGCTTGCTTGGTTTCACAATAAACAGTCTTGGCACAAGCAGTAAAGAAATCAAAAGATGAATTGCATTTGGAAAATTTGCTGTCGAGGACCTTTCCTAAGTGCTAAAGAGCAACGATATCAGTCTAGAAACTAAGGTGCACCAGATCCAAGCCGTGGACTTCCCAGAGAATAAACAGGTCTATCCTTGAGTGGGTGAAATCAAGCTGCTCTTTGAAGGGAAGGAGTATGACATACTTTGGGTGCATTGCCAGGAGGAACCAGTCCTTGAGGAAGGATGTCTTGCTTGAAAGGAAGGATGGACAGCACAGGAGAGGAAGGCTCTGGATGAGGTGGATTGGCACACTAACTAGGGTCATTGGGATGGGAATATCAGAAGTAGTGAGACTGGCTCAGGATAGGGCAGAGTTCAAAGCGATTGTACATAAAGTTGCAGTCAACTCGTTAGCACATAACAACCACAATGAAGCCTGAACATTTAGATGGTCAGAATCTCTTAAGTATTTCTAAGATCTTCGTAAGCAACTAAACATAATTTAAAAATACCCTAGAATTTATAAAATTTGTTATAGGTCAAATACATCTACACATTTGCTGAAAAATTAAAACTCACTGCCACCAAGTTGACTCAAGCTCATATCCTATTGACTCGTATTGGGCGTCCAAGACCAACAAAGAGGAATGCTCATCTTTCTCCCATGGACTGCTGATGGACTCTACTTACCAGTGACATGCAGTTTCTGGCTCAGCAGTGCACCTCTCTATGGGCTACACCATCACACACACATAAAGTTGGCACACACGTACCCATGCTGAGTTTTAGAGCCTCTCTTCATTTCACTTTGTTGGTGGTAAATACAAATAGCGTAACAGTTACCATTTCTGGCATTTTTAAGCATACAGTTCAGTGACATTAATTGCATCCTCCTCTGTGTTGTACAGTCATCACTTCTATTCGTTTCCAAATGCTTTTTCTCTGTGACTTAGTGGTAACAAGTTCCCTGCCAACTTAAAGACATAGGGTTTGAATCCACAAGCTGTCCACTCAGAAGAAGATGGGCAGTGTTCCTACTGTGCGATGACAGCCTCTGAAAACCCATTGGAGGGTCAGCTATGAGTCAATTCCAACTTGATGGAACATAACATCACATAACAAACAATATAACAACATACATAACATAACATAAAATATAACAAACATACATAACATCATAACATAACAACATAACATAGCATAGCATAACAAACATAACATAAAACAGAAACTATTTCTTCAGCAGTAACTCCCTATTTCTACCTCTCGCCAACCAATGACAACCACTAGTTAACCTTTGCCTCTATGAATTTGCCCATTCTGGATGTCTCACGTAAATGACAGTATTCAATATTTTTCCTCTTAGTGATGACGTATTTCACTTAACAATATTTTTAAATGCCCTCCCTTATGTCATATGTATCAGAACTTCACTTCTCTTATGACTGAATACAATTCCATTGCATGGCTAGTCTATAGTTTGTTGATCAAGTCCTCTCTCAATGGGCTGAATTGAGCATGTCTTCATTTTGATATTAAATTTTTAAACCTTTCTGAGGCACCTAAATTTAGACATTCAGGTAAAGGGAACAATTACATTTCAAACACATAGAGAGTGCATGTTTGAAAACCCACATTTGGTCTAGGTTACTGGACAAAGAAATTAATATCTTAAAATTATAAAATGACTTCCTGCCCCCTCAGTAAATCACCAGGAAGCGTCCTCTCTCCCTCAGCAGTGAATGTATGTGGCCATCCTCTCCGTACCTACAGATTTACCTTTTCCCTGATGATTAGAGACTGTACATGTGGATGTTTAACAATTTAGCCTATCAGTTTCTTAATAATTATAATTTTGTCTGTTTTCAGTTTGCACTTCTACACAAACTATGTTAGTAAGCATCGTTTTATACCATTGGCAATTTGCTAATGGAGCCTATCTGGTAAATACCTAAAAGTGCTCTCTTTCTCATTGCTGTTAAGTAGGAGCTGATTCATAGCTCGCTCACATTCTTGGGGCACACAAGGCTGTAAATCTCATGCAAGAACACTGCCTGTCTTTCCCCTCAGGCCTCTGGTGGGTTCAGTCACCCCAAGAGGCACGGTCTTTGAGTAGCAGCACAATTTCCGTGGTCAATGACACCAGTTGGCTTAGAAATGTATGCTCTGAAGGCTGCATATTGGAGTGGACCTGGAGGGTGGGATTGTATAACAATGAAGGAATTTTTCTTTTACTTTTCAAAGAGAAGAATGAACTGGGGGAAGAGGAGGAATGGGCAGGGAGAAAAGTACAACAATGAATGAGTGGAAATCCGAAGTCTCTGTAAATTTTCATTAACATTAATAATAATAATAAGGAAAAAAACAACTATGCTCATTAACACGTAGTTTAACCTTGGTCTCCAACAGGTTGAATCATTTTAAACTCTGATTGGCTCTGAAAGGGCCCATTATTCCAGGCGTTGTATACTCTATTATGGAGAGTAATCAGAGTTTTAAAAATGTCATGCCAATCTTTTTCAGTGACTGTGCTGTGATTTTTAAAGAAATGTTTATAAGCAGGTTGTGCTTCTCAGGTGTGTTGGAGACAGTGATACTGGCTCAGCATAGGGCAGGGTTTAGAGCTATTGTACATAGGGTCACTGTGAGTCATAGGTGACTTGGTGGCATGTAACAACAATAACATTTTATTATTTATGGGAGTTTTCAATATTATGAACATTAACTTTTTCCATACAGGTTTTCTTTCTGCTTGTAACTTTTGTTAAACTTCATGTATTGGTTTTTTCTATGGTTCAATTTTTAAGTTTTATAGAAGAAGATTTATTGAACTTTTATAACTTTAGGTATTAAATCATGCTTTGAAATTTTCTCTTGAACCGAGTATGTGACAATATTCTCCTCTGTAGTTTAGGAAATTTTATAGTTTATTTACCTCCTATATTTAGTGTTTAATATGAACCTAACTTCTATACCAATTATAAATTTTAACAAAAATTTGAATTAAAAAAGGGATGGGTAAAGGAAAGCAGAAAGATCCGGTGTACAAAAAACAGTGTATACAAACTTTATGTATGAACTTTGTATGTAAATCACGTATAAAATTTAAAAAAAATTTAGCTAAATTTTAACAAAAAAGGAAAAGAAAAAAATAATGAAAAATAATTTTAACAAAAAATTATATTTTTACATATTAATTCAGCAAGCAATGGCATTTTCCCAAAACTCAAGTTTCAGACTTTGGAAAGTTACTTTTCACATGGTACTATGCATTTCTTCTAGTTATCCCTTGCTATTGCACATACTTTGGGACTTTTGGTGGTATAGTCTGTAGGAATTTGTGCTGATAACCCAAAGGCTTCCCGGTTTGAATCCACCAGCTGCTCCTTAGTATAAAGAGGTCCAGTCTCCTCCTGTGCGATTTTTACCGTCTCAGAGCCTGCTGGAGAATCAGCTATGAGTTGGTCTTGACTTGATGGCAATGATAGTGGGAGAAAGAGAAACAGATTGCATATCTATTATTGCTTTTTAAAATAAGATCTCCCTTTTTAAAATTTACATTTTCTTTCAGGTAGAAAATAAAGACAGCGACACTTGCATGTTTAACTTTACTGAATATTCTCACATTAATTCTCTAGTTAACAAAACAGAACATCTGAGAATGTATTCAGAGTAGGAAAATTCAATCTTCAGGCAAAACTTGATGTTAAGTTCTGAATACAATACAATAGAATATATTATGGTAGTAACGATGGTGATTTTTTTTTATTGCTCATTTACTGAGGTGGTTTCTAATACAGATCATCACTGTGGTCTCCTTATATATCAATTGAAAGTCACCCAACAGTAAAATTTACAGGGTGTATTACCTCCACTGAAAATATTGAAAACATCCATTTGCATGAAAAGCATTGCAATAGTTTATAAGTATTAAATGAATGACAACTCCTGCTGTTTGTTTCTTGTTGTCACTGACTAACATTTTTCATGTTTTTCTTTGTTGCTGTTTTTTAAGAAAATAGACGTTACCAGCAAAGCCATTGCAGAAATTCTTTCAAAAGCTACAGAATATCTCCAGCCAAATCCAGGTAATGTTAGAAAATTCCTTGAAATGTTCTATTGATTGTTTGGGGTCATGGGCGCTAATAATCTATGCATCCTTGGTGGCACAGTGGTTAAGCACATGACCGCCGACCAAAAGGTCAAAATTTGAACCCACGTCATGTTGATGCAGGATAGGGTGAGATTCACTGTTGTTTACAGGGTTGCTATGAGTTGTACTTGATTCTTTGGCAACTGACAAAAACAACAGGGTGCTGCCTGGGAGAAAGGTGTGGCCGTCCAGCCTTGACGACAATTCTGCTCTGTCCTTTATGTTCACTAGGAGTTGCAACTGACTCATGGTGATGGGTTTATTTTATTTTTGTTTCTTATGTTGTTTTTTTTTTAATCTGGCACAAAGAATAATGTTCTTTGTGTTCAAATTTAAAAATTGTTGATGTTGTGGGTCGTTGAGTTGGAACCAAACCAGAGCTGACCCTTCAGCAGGTTTTCAGAGGCAGTTGATTGCATGGGAGGTGGTTACCCATCCTTCTCCTGCAGAACAGCTGGAGGCCTCGAACTGTGTGCCTTTGGGATTGCAGTGCAGCTTCTTGTCATAATATTTAGTGTTTCAAAATTGGCGTTTCAGAATCCAAAGGTAGTCCTAGTGCCTCTTAGCTGATAAGAAGCAACAGATATCCTGGGAAACCGTATAGGCATTTGGAAGGAGTCTTGATCCTACAAACAAGGGCTTGCTCAACAAAGACGCTGTCCATGAGATGCTTCAGAAACCCAACACTTTCCATAAACATTTGTCTCCTGCCATCCTCTTCTGAAGACATGTATTCCTTTGAAAAGACTTTCATTTCATGATTCAGAATCTGAAGAAATGAGGTGAAATGGATATGAAAAACAACCTGAGAAAGTTCATTAGTTTCTTGACCCTGAACCCAAAGCCGCTTCTAGAAACCTATATTCCAAAGCCATAATTACCAAGCATCATCTTTCGCTGTTTGCTGGATTGTAAATACAGATACCAATAGAGGGCGCTCCAAGCCTTTAGTTCTGTGGATTGTCAAAGCTGCCTTCACTTTTTAGGAATTTATTATTTGTATATTTAAAAAAATAAAATTCAGTTGGGGTGCTGGCTAGGAGCTTTGTGGGCAAGCTGCTATGGAGTCAGCCCCCAGATCATGGCAACCCGTTTATAATGGAACCCACTGCCTGCTTCTTTGCCATCCTGTGATTGGCTGAGAATGGCATCCCTAGGGTTTTCATTAGTGTCAGAAGATATGAGCATTTTTATCTTGGTGGGTTTGTTGTTGTTGTTGTTTGTTTGTTTTTTAATGACAAACTTCCCTTGTTTGAAAGGCTCTTTGAAATGCCTGTAGGATCTTCCAGAGGACCAAGCCCAATCACCATGGGAGCCTTGGACACCCTTAAAGGGAGCGGGTACAGCAAGCAGTGAACCATATCAATGACTCTTCTTTTGTGATTCACTTTGAAGGAAAACACCTCAGATACAATTACTGAGTGCAAATGAAGCCAACCACCACACGGAATATAGAAACAATACAGAAAAAACCCTTTAGATTTGCTTTTGTCTATTTTTTTCCTCACTTTGCATCAAAATTTTTTCCATTTGTTTTCAGTTTATCTATACTTTAGAAAGTAAGTCTACCACCTTAATGTGTGTTATGATATAACTTTTTTAGGAAAAAATAAGTTGCCCTTGTGTAGAGTCATGGCCACCCCGTCCTATTTGCCTATAAACCCCCTGACCAAACCTGTTATTGTCACACCAATTTCCATTCCCAGGACAGATTAGAACTGCCACATATGGTTCCGAGACCATCAGCTCGCAGCAGCTGGTTGCCACATCTTTCTCTCTTTGAGTGGCTGATGGATTTGAAGTGCCCACCTTTTGATTAGCAGCTATGGACTTATCCATGGTACAACCAAGGCATGCTTAGTAGCCTCTAATCTAATTCAGTGGCCTGTCCTGACACCTGTTATATTCCACATCTCACCCTGAAAGCAGAAGAGATTGAGGCAAAATGTGTGTATTTTGTATGGAGGTTGGGGGGCAGAGGCCCAGGAACTTGCCTGTTGAAAATGCAGACATATACACTTTATCCAGGCCAGCACAGTTTTCAAAAGGCTGTCCCTATGGGTACCTAAAACATACAATACTCAGTGCTCAAAGTGTGGTCCTTGTATCTGCAGTCTCCTAGGATACTGCCAGAAGTTCACAAACTTAGGCTCACCCCCAACCAACCTAAAGAGACCCTGCATTTTCACAGAATCCCTAGATGTTCAAGTTGGCTACCTAAAATTATCTCCCATAACCTTAGCCAGCATGTGACTCAGGAACCCTGCTTGCTAACCAGAAGTCAGCAGTTCAAACTGACCAACTGCACTATGGGAGAAAGACATGGAATCCTGCTTCCCTGACATCTTCTGTATGAAGTTACGGCCCAGGAAACCCAATGGAAGCAGTTCCACTCCGTCTTACAGGGTCTCTCTGAGTCAGAATTGACTTGACGTGTTTGGCGCATGACTCATTTTCTTAGCTACAAAAGAAAAGAAATCTCAGATCCCCAGCTTGGTGTTCAATTTATCCTGACATTTCCCCATAGATCTCTCCCATTTCATTCTGTATTTCTTTCTGTTTGGGTGTCACAACCTTGTCCTTATGCACTGATTATATCCTGAGCATTCCATCTTATACACTTTGACATACACTCTTCCTGCCCATTTAAGGGAATTTCTCTAACTTTGTGCATTGCATTATCTCTTCCTATCCCACTCCACATCAAACTTAATTTTCACAGTTACACCCATGCATTCAGGCTTACAGTGACAAGACTGCTCTCCTTGACAGAGAACAGAGCTGTGCTAAGCTTCTCTCCATTTGCAGTAACTGAGTGATAAGTAAACACTACTGAAAATAGGTAAATATTTAATACTTGCTTTGGAGTCTTTGGGGCTATATAAATGGTTCACATTCTAAACTGCTACCCAAAAGGCTGGAATTAAGAATCTTCCCCAAAATGCCTCTGTGAAAAGACCTTGCAAACTTTTGAAGGATCAACCATTAGAAACCCTACAGAGCTGTCCTGTGGACCACTGTCCTTCTGAATCAACTTGACAGCAATTAGTGTATTTAGACTCAATGGCACAACAGTTAAACTTAATGGTTGATGGTTCAAAGCTGATAACTCTGTAGCAGAAGCAATTTGACAGTTAAATTTAATGGTTGATGGTTCAAAGCTGATAACTCTGCAGCAGAAGCAATTTGACAGTGTACTATAGTACAGAAGGCAGCCTAAGAAATCCTACGCTAGCCTGTAGGGTCACTGGGAATTGGAATCCACTTGACAGCAATTGGCCTATTTAGTCCTGGCAGTGCAATAGGTGCAACTGCTAACCGGAAAGTCTGTGGTTTGAACCCACTACTTTGCAAAAAGAAGATGAGGCAGTCTTACTTTGTAAAGGTTACAACTTGGTAATCTTATGCAGCAGTTCTTCTGCCCTGTGGGGTCGCCAGGAGTTGGAATTACTCACTTTAAAGAAATAAATTAAATAGCAACTCAGCTCGATGAATAAGTGTCAGAACTGACCCATAGCTGCCCCTCCATTGAGTTTCTGAGGCTGTAAATTGCATGGGAGGAAATGGCTTGTCTTTCTCCCACACAGCCACTGGTGAATTTGAACCACTAGCGAGGAGTGGCTTTGGGGTTAGCAGTGCAACTTCCTATGGTGCTCCCTAAATAAAAATATACTATGAATACATATTTAGACTGCCTAAAGCAGAGAACAGGAGGCATGAGCAATGCCTGCTCATTACTTCCTCAGAGACTGGGGAGCTGAGCTGCAATTGAAAGACAAGGCTTCCGTAGATGTTCACTATAGATGCACTCATCTCCTTGAGTGGCAGTCTGCAGAAGTTTAGTGTTGAGGATTAACTAATAATTTGAAATATACCTGTTGGATCTTGGCTGAAAGCAGGGAATACCAGAGGAATGTCTATCTGTGTTTCATTGACTGTGCAAAGCCATTTGACTGTGTAGATCATAACAAACTATGGCTGACTCTGAGAAGAATGGGAATCCCAGAACACTTGATCGTTCTAACGTGAAACTTATACTTGGACCAGGAGGCCGTCGTCAGAACAGAGCAAGGGTGCATGGTTCAAAATTGGGAAGGGCGTACGCCAGGGATGCATCCTATCTCCATACCTTTTCAACCTATATGCAGAACAGATTATCCGGGAGGCTGAGCTCTATGAGGAGAAATGTGGGGTCAAGATTGGTGGACGATTTATCAACAACCTGCGTTATGTGGATGACACAACCCTGCTTGCTGAAACTGAAGAGGACCTGAAGCGCCTGCTGCAGAGTGTCAAGGACTGCAGCCTACAATATGGATTGAGGCTCAATATATCAGAAGACAAAGATTCTCACCACTGGACCAATTGGCAGCATCAGGATGGATGGTGAAGAGATTGAGATTGTACACAGCTTTAGTTTGCTTGGCTCCATAGTCAACAGTCTTGGCACCAGCAGCCAGGAAATTAAAAGGTGCATTGCCATGGGAAAGTCTGCTGTTAGGGACCTCTCCAAAGTACTGAAGAACAATGGTGTCTCTCGTGCGTCTGATACAGGCTATGGTCTTTGCAATCACTTGGACCAAAGACAATAGAAGGAGAATTGATGCCTTTGAGCTGTGGTGCTGGAGAAGAGTATACCATGGACTGCTAGGAAAACAAACAGATTTGTCCTGGAAAGGGTTAAACCGGGTGGTTCCTTGGAGACAAGGATTCTGAGGCTCCGTCTAACATGCTTTGGACATGTTGTGAGGAGAGACCGGTCCTTGGAGAGGGACATCATGCTTGGGAGGGTGGAGGGATAGTGCAGGAGAGTAAGGCCCTCTATGAGGTGGATTGATTCAGTGACTGGGGTAATTGGGATGGGAGTGTCAGAGACGGTGCGATTGGCACAGAACAGAGCGGAGTTTAGGGCTGTTGTACATAGGGTCACTATGAGTCGCAAGCTACTCGATGGCACATAACAACAATAACAACAACCTGTTAGCAATGCTTTTCTGGATAATCTATATATCACCCACTCTCCACTTATCAAGTATCTCATTAGCTGACATTTTGTATTCATAATAGTGAAAATTTTACCAACTCCTGTACATTGTTGTTCATATTAGGTTCTATTGAGTACAACCCATTGCGACCCTCTGAACACTAGATCTGAACCCTGTCCTGTCCTGTGCCATCCTTGTTGTTGTTGTTAAGTGCTGTTGAGTTGCAGGCGACTCACAGCGACCCTATGAAGGAGAGTCCTTGACGCTTGGGTGTCTCTCATCCTCTCTCCAGGTTCATAGGGTTTTCCAGTGGCAAGCTATTATGGAAGTGGATGCCGCTCCTCCTTCCAAGCTTGTTTTAATCAGGGAGTTTTGCCCAACACTGTCCTCCATGGGTAACCAGCCATTAACGCATTTGACACATCAGAGTCACAGGTGCCATTCTTACAATCTCTAACATGCTTGAGACCATTGCTGCAGTCACTGTGTCAATCCATTGAGGGTCTTCCTCTCTTTCACTCACCCTCCACCTTTCTAAGCATGATGTCTCTCTCCAAGGAACAACCTCGAGCGGCCTGCACTTGACTGACATACAGTCTGGCAGTAATGAACTCAAGGTGGGAGGCTAAAGTAATGCTGGCTGTGCTGCCTGAGGTTATGTGTCAGCTCAGCTGGGCCAAGATTCTCAGTGGTTTGTCAGTTGTGTACTGATGTCATTTGGCAGTTATAACCGAGTCATTCTCTGTGCTGTGATCTGATGTAGTCATCCTCCATTTTTACATAGTGGTGATTTTCACATAACTACCTTGGTTTTGGAATATAATGATATTGATAAGTGAAGCGAGGGCCCATAAGAAAAAAATCATGTTAGCCATATTTAAATATAGGATTTAGGAATATTAATTATTACCATCACCATTGTCCATTTCCAAGAATTTGTAATCAACCCAAATAGAAACTCTGTACCCATTGAGCATTAACTCTCAAGTCCCCCTCCCACCAACCTCTGGCTTAGACCAAAACAACAAAAGTAATGATAAAACCTATCACCCTTAGGTTAGTTCCTGCTCATAGGACTTTAGGATAGAGAACTGTCCACAGGGGTTTCCATGGTGAAATCTTTACCAAATGTGTCACCTTTCTCCCAAGACGCCGCTTGTGAGTTCAAAGTGCTGACCTTTCAGTTAACAGCTAAGCACTTTAAGCACTGTGCCACCGGAGCACCTACAGCACTGCTGTTCTTCGTTTACAATAGATCCCTAGGGAGAATTCTCCCTTCTGGTGTCTGTGTGTGTTTGTAGCTTCATACTTTCTTCCATGTCTCTCTGTGAGTGCTGCTTGTTCACAGCCCCTGTAACTATAATCTGGAGTCGACATGCATGCTGTGATTCCTGCTTTCCATCATGACTGTGTAACACGCACTCAGCACCGATCTCAGTAAAGAAGCAAGACAAATGAAGTCCTGGGTGCATATGGACGGCCTCATTGTGCCTCTGCCCTGGCATTTAGTCTTAGGTGACCTAGACATTGGCAGTTGTGTTTGTTCACCGCGGTCATTCCACCTTGTAATTTGAAGGAATTACAAATGACAATATTTTTAAGCATACAGAGCTAAGCTGGGAATGCTCAACACTGTGTCGAAGATCCGAGGGCAGGTGAAAACCACCGGCTACCCACAGACGGAAGGCCTGCTGGGTGACTGCATGCTGAAGTACGGGAAGGAGCTCGGGGAGCAGTCCACCTTCGGTGAGCACTCAGCACCCCCTGATGGCACCTCCTCCACTGTCAGACCAAAGGCTTCCTCACAGGCTGCCTTGCGGATTCCAACTTATGATGACCCTTCACTCTTTGGGTACCAGAGGCTGTAAATCTTTATGGGAGAGATTATCATCTTTCCCCTGTGCAATGGCTGGTGGATTTGAACCACTGACCTTTCTGTTAGCAGCTGACTATAGCACTGCACCATGAGGGGGTAATTCCTGACCCAAGCAGTATCTCAAGTACAGCCTTCTCCATCTGTCAGTGGAAGCTCGTCAGGGGTCTCTGTGATGGTGAATAGGTTACGTGGGTCTCCAGACTAATGCAGACTAGGAAGAAAGGCTTGGTGAGCTACATATGAAAATCAGCCAGTGAAAGCCCCATAGACCTCAACGGTCCCATTCCGTTGTGCATGGTGTCCTTGTCATCATAAGCTGGGGACTGACTGGACAGCCGCTCACAGCAACAGCCACCTAGCAAAGGCTGCCCGTTGCTGCCCAGGAATGCTAGCCTGGTTCTCTGTGGGATCATGATTTGTCCATCCTGCTGAGAAAGTGTCCTCTGTGAGGCTCCCAGGCCTTCTCCGGACATCTACAAGGTAGGAAGCCTTAGGACAGGTTTGAAGGAGGCAGCGAACTATTCCAAGAGCTGATAGCTAGAAGTCACTGTGAGGTTTTGTTTGCTTGTTTTTATTGTAATATTTATTGGTTAACACTTAGCCTCTGATGAACGAAACCCTTTTTGGTTTATGGTAAAGGCTTTTATTCTTCAGCTTCTAAGGAAATTGGTTAACACTTAGCCTCTGATGAACGAAACCCTTTTTGGTTTATGGTAAAGGCTTTTATTCTTGAGCTTCTAAGGAACCTTTGGTGCCAGGAGTTCATAGAAACACCAGCTTTGTTTATTTATTTCTGTATTGCCAAGTAGCGTTACCGCCATCTAGTGACCGAAGTGATAATTGTCCAGCTCTATCAACCATGGAATGTGGTGTTTCATCTGGTGGTGAAAAGACTATTATTGTTTTGTGTTTCATACAATCATTCCCATGCATTGGAATAAAGAATAGTGTGAAACACAATGTATACTTCTTTGTAAGCAAACCAATATAAAATAAAAAAATATGGCGAAAAGAAACAAACCTCAAAGCCAACAAGCATGGTCCAGAGAGGAAATAACTGGTGTGTCTGGCAATGACCAAGGTATAAAATGGCCGTAGGAAGTTATGACTTGAAAACACTGTAGAATATCTGATTTTACCACTGAATTAATGTCTTTATCATTTTTGAGAAAGAGCTTCAGAGTTTGCATAAATGCTTTTTATTCCTATATATTTGAAAAAAGACCACTATTGTAAAAATAGAAATATAACTCGTAAAATGTGCATGAGGGTCCAAAGGAGGGGAAGTTTTAGCAGACGGGTAAGGATAGGCAGGGTGGAAATCAGAAGGCTGTATAATTTTGGTGGGTGGATGGAGGAGGTGGAGGTAAAGGATATAGGAAAGATCCTTCAGGAAACTGAAAAGAGAGGGTAATGGTGGGCATAGTCCAATGGTGATTAATTTTAGAAAATAACAGCATGTATGGGAATGATTATATGAAACATAATCCTTTTCAATGAAGTAAAATGTTGGGGGAAATATTTTTTAAATTATTATTAAATTTTATTAGTTTTAATGAACATTTACAGAGATTTTGGATTTTCATTCATTCATTGTTGCACTGTTTTCTCCACCCTCCTCCCCAGTTCATTCTTCCCCCCCCCATGTCTGTTTTAATTGTCCAATTGCCACAGTGCTTGTCAAAGCCAGTTCTGATTAATCTCCTTTGTCAGTGTGTCCCTTGCCATTCCCTATCACTCCTCCCTGAGAGAGACTTCACCCTGATTCATAAGGAAAAGGGGATGGCGTATTCTCTTAGCTACTTCCTGCTGAAAAGGGACGCTGTGGGTTTCAGGGTGAAGGTCTTCTCTCAGTACTCTAAAGGGCCCCTTTGGCAGTAGGAAACACATAGACTAACATGGAGATTGATTTTGGAATTTAGATGCACTGTTATCAATTGTGCTTAGCCGTACATGTTCATATCCTTGAAGATGTATCATGGAAGTGTTGCAGCCTAGAAGATACAAATTTAACTAACAAGTTAAAAGTGTATGAGTCAAAAATTGAAAAGCAATAATATTGTGAGTAGAGGTTCTAATAGTGGCACAAATCAAGTTACGGAGGTAAGGTGGTTCCATTGCCATCCTTACTCTAACTTAATTCTTTTTTTTTTAAATTTAAATTTGTTATTAATTTCAGAAATGGCAGAGTAGCCTAGAAAGCAAAACAGAGGAAACAGAAACTTTCTTTTTTCCCCTCTGGGATAGACTCACAGGTCTCAGGAGCAAGGACGTTGTCACCTATGAATTTCTGAGAAAAATGGTGACATGCCGCTGTTTGCCATTGTGTTTTCTGAAGCATTGTGTTTTTGTTACTTCCTCTTCCAGGCAGTGCACTGATAGAAGTCGGCGAGTCCATGAAGCTAATGGCTGAGGTGAAAGATTCTCTTGATATTAATGTAAAGCAAACTTTTATTGATCCGCTTCAGTTATTACAAGACAAAGAGCTAAGAGAGATTGGGGTAAGTCCTCCTGGCTATAAATATACATGCTTCTTGCTACATTACATGCTTAGAAATAAAACCATTAAAAGATTGCCATACGAGGAACTCACTGAAACATCATCTTAATGTGTGTGGTGAAAAAAATTTACTAAGTTATATTAATCAACACACTTGGTAACAGCAGCCAGGAAATCAAGAGACAAATTGCATTGGGAAAGTCAGCTGTGAGGGACCTCTCAAGAGTACTGAAGAGCAACAATGCCATGCTGGAGACTAAGGTGCACCTGATCCGGGCTATAGTCTTCTCAGTTACGTGCTATGCATCAGAGAGTTGGACAGTGAATAGGGTTGATAGAAAGAGAATTGATGTCTTTGAGCTGTGGTGTTGGAGAAGAGTGTTGAATATCCATGGCCTGCTAGGAGAACAAACAGGTTTGTCCTGGAGAGGTTGAAGCCAGAATGCTCCTTGGAGTCAAGGATTCTGAAGCTTTGTCTGACATCCTTTGGGCATGTTGCAAGGAGGGACTGGTCCTTGGAGAGGGACATCATGGTTGGCAGAGTGGAGGGGCGGCGAAGGAGAGGAAGACCTTTGATGAGATGGATTGATTCTGTGACTGGAGCGGTGGGAATAAGTGCGTTTGAGATGGCTAGGTTGGCACAGGATAGAACAGCATTTAGAGCTCTTGTACATAGGGTCACTATGAGTCGCAAATGACTCGATGGCGCGTAACAACAACAACAACAACAACAACGTATTTATGTGGGCTCAGTGGGAAGAAAGACCAGGATTGTCCCTATCTGTCATGAAAAAGACATCATGCTTTGAAAAGTGGAGGGTCAGAGGGAAGAGAAGGAAGAATATCTACCTCAAGATGAATTGACACACAGCTTGGCTGGGTCATGGGTCTCAAGTGAATTGTCAGGAATGAAATGATCCCTCATGATCTGATGAGACAGTCACATCATTTAAATTGTTGGTTCATTTTCTCTTATGTAATATATAATGTTATGTTACTGTATTTCATTTTAATGTAATTTTATTATGTTGAATTTAATATTAAATTTTCTTTAACATTAAGTGTTCACCTTATTTTCTTGACTTTGTTGTTGTTGAATACCATCAAGTCAGAATCAACTCATAGATGACCTTCCAGCAGGTTTTCAGGCAGTAAATCACACTAAAGAAAATTGCCCATTTTTCTCCTGCAGAGCAGCTGGTGGTTTTGAACCATATACTTTTGGATTGGCAGCATATTTCTCTACCAGTAAGCCACCAGAGCTTCCTGTTACTTTGACAGTATTACTTTTAGTACTTCATGCAATTTAGATTGCATCTAAGTAGCTTTTATAAATGTTCTATGAGATTTCATTGTAATTTATTATTATATTTTATTTCATACGTTTTATGGAATTTCGTTTTATGGAATATTTTAAGTAATATTATGTTTCTTACAATTTTTTATTTTAATTTCTTTTTAGTCAATATTTAAATAATTTAGTTCCATTTTGGAAGCAGGAGTGGCATCCACTTTCTAACCAATATGCCTCTGGAAGCTCTATGAACTTGGAGACACGATGATCGCTATAGAAAGGCTTCAGGCCTTTTATTCATAGGGTCGCTATGAGTCATGCTCAACTCGGCAATCAACAACAAACAGTTCCATTTTATTTTTACAGTTATTCTTAAATTCTATTTAACCACTTAACTTTATATTTAACTGAAACGATTATTTTTTCACTTACTTTTTTTTCCCTGTGATCAAATAAAGTTTGTGAGTTGTTTGTTTGTTTTTTTTTAAAAAAAGGTGGACTGACACAGTGACTGTAACAATGGGTTAAAAAAATATCAGAGATCATGGAGATGAATCAGGAGAGGGCAAGGTTGAGATCTGCTGTTCATAGAGTTGCTATGAGACTTGATGGCATCTGTCACGGGGACCTGGTGATGGGTGGATGTGAGCAGCGTCCCTTCTAGCCAGTGTAGATTATTTAACAAGCAAGGTAAGCATGGGGGTTCTTGCATTTACTTACTCAGAGATACTGCTTCTAGGTAAGGCTGACCCGTCTTTCTCTCCCTATAGTACCTTCTCCTCATAGCACCCTCTCATAGTATCAACGTCTCTTTAAATTTACTCTCACTGGAAGGGATGGAAGGAAATCTGGTGGTGTAGTGCATTACACGTTCAACTGCTAATCCAAAAGTCAGTGGTTCAAATCCACCAGCTTATATTTTTTTTTGCCTTTTTTAATTATTTGTTGAGCTTTTTAAAAATTTTTTAAAAATTAATTTCAATGCACATTTACAGAGATTGTGGATTTCCATTCATTCATTGTTGCACTTTTCTCCCCACCCACTCCACCCCCACCCCCAGTTCACTCTTCTTTAAAAGCAAAAGAAAAACCTCCTTCATTGGTATACAATCCCCCTGCACCTCCCCCCCCCGCAACCACCAGCTTCTTTAAGGGATAAAGAACAGTCTCCTAGAAAGATTCAGAGCTTTTGAAACTGGATGGATGGTCTCTATGAGTTGCTACTGAGCTTGGGTTTTGGACAAGGATGTAGGACCCAGGAAGGTAAACCTGGGCTCAGTTAGAAATTGTAGTAAACAGTTGCACCCATGTTTCATCTATGTGAAATTGTTCACTTCAGATTGGTAGACAAGCACACGTAAGATTGCCATTACTTTGATTAGCACTGGTGACCTAGTGGTAAGAAGCTGCCCTGCAATCCCAAAGGCACACTGTTTACTAGCTGCATACTGGGAGAAAGATGGGCATTCTCCTCCTGTGTGATTACTGCCTCTGAAAACCCCCTGGAGGGTCAGCTATAGGTTGTTTCTAACTTGGTGATACACAACACAACAACCTCTTATTGAAAGTGGCCAGGGGCCCTGATGACACAGTGATTAAGCACTTGTCAGCTAACTGAAAAGTTGACACCCAGTTGCCACTTGGGAGAAAGGCCTCTCAGTCTGCTTCTGTAAAGGTTACAGCTAAAAAACCTGTAGGGAGCACAGCCCTACTCGTATTCTGGGGTTGCCAAGAATCAGGGTGCACAGAACAGCAACTAATACTGGTTCCTTCTTTCTACAGTCCCCCAACCTGTACTGTCCTCAGATTCTAAAACCAAACTTAAAGTCACTGAGTTGGTCATAAACTGTGTTGACCTCTCATCTTGTTTCTGAGGCTGTAAATCCTATGGATGGAGATGGAGCATATTTCTCCAACAGAGCAGCTGAGGGAATCAAACCACCAACCTTCTGGTCAGCAGTACAGTGCGTAACCCATTACTCCACCAAGGCTCATTTAGACTCTGCCCAGCTGCCCTGAGTTCCTTACTGCTCCTGGGACATGTTTGGCATTTTGATGTGTGTACTGGTCCCTTGCGTCGACGACTCTCTTTCATAGGGTCGCTGTGAGTCACCTGTAACTCGATGGCACTTAACAACAACAACTGGTCCCTCTCCTGTTGCCCTTCTCCTGGCTGTCAGCCTGCTTCCTGTGAAAGGACTGCTGGTTTTGAACAGCGGACCTTTTGGCTAGCATTCATGTATATATTTAGCTTGGCTACCTCTCGTGGCCTACTGGTAAGAAGCTGCACTGTCACTCCAAAGGCATGCAGTTCAAATTCACCAACTTCTCTGTAGGAGAAGGATGGATACCCTCCTCAGGTACAATTTATTGCCTTTGTAAACCCACTGGAGGATCAACTATGAGTCAGTTCTGACTTGGTAGTACATAACAATAACAACATATGAGATACATACACACATGTGCACACACACACACACACACACACACACACACACACACACACATTTATTATATAGGGAATTGCACTGCTAACCTAAAGGCCACACTCTTCTGGTAGGATAAAAATCTCCAGTGCAATTTTACAGTGTCTGAAATCCATTGGAGGACCAGCAAAAGTATATATTCTCTCATGATAAAAGCGTGTTAATCTTTTTCCAAAATCTCCCCATGTCTGTGGTTGGTTGTCCATACCTCTCCTCTGTATATATCATACACTTTAATTTTTCTTTTTACTTTTTTTATGCCTGATTGTCTTTACAGCTTGCTGTCAGAGATACATCAATCTGTCAGTTTGTTGGTTTGGGGGAATGATTAGCATGTTGCTAATTACTCTATAACTTTGGCGTATGGATACCTGCTTATTTATCATTTGCTCTTATTAATACAGCACTTGTCTGTCAGTGTGCTGTACTGGGTAACCTATGCGTTGCTGTGATGCTGGAAGCTATGCCACCAGTGTTTCAAATGCCAAGAGGCTCATCCATGGTGGGCAAGTTTCAGCAGAGCTCCTAGATTAAGATAGATTAGGAAGCAGAATTGGCCATCTACTTCTGAAATAACAGGTCTGTAAAAGTCTATAAACAATAGAGGATTACAGGGTGTTACAGTATTAATCAAAAGACGAATTACACTGGGAAAAATCTGCTATCAAGGACCTCTCCAGAGTACTGAGAAGCAATGATGTCAGTCTAGAGACTATGCTGCACCTGATCCAGTCCATGGTCTTTGCAATTACTTGTTACATATCAGAGAGCAGGACAATGACTAGGGATGATGGAAGAAGAACAATGCCTTTGTGTTGTGGTGCTGGAGAAGAATCTTGAGCATACCACGAACTACCAAGAAAGCAAAGCCTATCTTGGAATAGGATGAAACCAAATTTCTCCTTTGAAGCTAGGATTTTGAAGCTCCATCTCACATATTTTGGACACATGGCCAGGAGAGAAAGACATCATGCATGGAAAGGTGGGGGGACAGTGCAGGGGAGGAAGACCCCAGATAAGATGAATTGATACAAAAACTGGGGTAATGGGGATAGGTGTGTTAGAGTCAGTGAAACTGGTTCAGGATAGGGCAGGTTTCACAGCTGTTGTCACTATGAGTCGCAGGACTTCATGGCACAGAACATCAATGACATCATAGTATTAGAGTTAAAGCCTAGATTGTGAGTCACTCACATTGAAGAGAAACAGCTACAAGTATCCTTTAATAGTTGGGACATAGAATGTACAAGTATGAATGTAAAAAAACCTGAAAGTTTTTAAAAAATGAAATGGAATGAATGAGTACTAGTAGTCTAATCAGTAGTGAACTTAGATGGACGGATATTGCCCACTTTGATACATTTATAGTTAAAAAAGGGACAATTTCAATATCTATCCTAAAAGAGCAAGAGCCTATGGTGATGAAGGAGGAAGTTCAAGTTGCTATGAAGGAATTGGCAAAAAACAAGGATCCAGGAGTTGACAGCATACCAATTGATTTATTTCAACAGACGCTACCCTGGATGTGCTCACTAAGTTGTGCCCGGAAATCTGGAGGACAGCCAGCCGGCCAACTGACTGGAAGAGATCGATATTTGTTCCCATTCCAAAGAAAGGTG